TTACCAAGTAAATACCAATACAATAAGTCTTCCAATACCTAGCTAAATAGTAATACAAAAACTATACTTTTAAAATATTGTTATTTCTTCTGAATATAGTTTCTGTATCTAACTATATATTGTTATTATTTAAATGAAGGTGAATTGCTATTCCTACAGCAGTATGAATTAATTCTAATACCCTACAAGTTGCATGGTAATCTACGTTTTGCTCTAACTTGTCAAGAAATCGGACGCCAAGCTTTGCTACCATACTGTAAATACCATACCCACTAAATGCTGCAATTAATACACTGTACATGGCTTTTGAAGTATGCTATTATTCAAAAATAAAACTACAAATTAAGTTGTTATTTGCATATTTTTTTGTTTTTGCAAAAATAGCTGTGTTATATGCTAAATCAACAATATTTTGTTCAAGATCTTCTAAATATATATTGATTGATTTAAACATGGCTTTATTGCTATTAGGTACTGGTTCAGGTTCTAATATAACAATATTTGGTGGGTTTACTTAACATCCTGGTTCGACAATGAAAAGTATTTTAGTATTCATTTCTTCAATTTTAAAATTTTTGTTATACCTATATACTAATTGGTTTATTATTTTATTAAAATTTTCATCTCAATTAGACGTAAATACAGATTGACCAAATAAATTTAGTTAAAATTCCAGATTTACTTGAGCAAGAGATAAAAGATTAAATGGAAGTTCAAATTAAAACACCATTCTTAGAGTGGTATATGCAGATTGTCATGTAATATCATAAATATTTTCATATTTAAAAATGATATTCTTGAAGTTAATATTATCAATAATAGCAAGATTCCATATATTTAGATCTTTAATTAATCTTGTCAAAGAATTGGATTTGTTTATATACTCTTTTTCTAGTCTTGTTTTGTGTTTCTAGATATAAGATGTGATATATACTATATATAATATGGCTTGCAAAAAAGATATTAATTTAGGCTTTTTATATAAAGAAGCCATAGTATAGATAAGCCATATTTTTTATTGATGAAATGCTATTGTTAAAATAATAGATACAAGAAATGAAGTAATCTTTTTTATTGCAATTGTATTAAATTTAGGTTCTTTTTTTTCATATTATCTACTTTTTTTTTTCTTACAATACTTTATATTTTTGCTTTTTAATAGATTCGATTAATCTATCAAAAAAACCAATAAGGACTAGAGAAAAGTTATTGTAATATTTATTTAATAAAAAGAGGTTTTCTAATTTATTACGATTTTTTTCAATTTTTTTATATAAATTACATATCATATTTTCTAATATTTCTTCAAACTGACAGCATTCCTCAACTTTTATAAGTTTTTTATTTGTAGGCGAATGATAATTGAACTTTTTAGCAATTGTTATAAGCAATAAGTTAAATAAATCAAATTTTGTATTAGTTAAGGATGCTGATAATGATTTTGGAGTTTTTAATAACTTTATAATATACTATAATACTTCTTCTTTATTTTCATTTTAAGAATACAAAAGATTAAATAACCAAGATAGAAAAAGCTTTAAAATATGATTAGTATTTTCTATATATAATTGATTATCAATATATGTTTAAAACTTTTCAAATTCTACATATTTATAAAGATGTTTTCTATGTTTTTCAAAACATTTTGTATAGACATATCTAACATGTCTGTTATTAATTATAAGCCTTGAAATAATACTTGAAATTCTATAAAATACTAGACATGATTTCAAGCCAAGACACAGAACTTAAATATCTCTCTTGCATATATTCTAACAATATTCAATACAATCACTACCTCTGCTAAAGAACTTTTTATATTTATTATAAAGTAAGTATTTTTTTTTATAAACTATACTTTTAAAATAATGTTTTAATGTTTTAATACCAAATAAGTAAAGTTGTCTATAATCAAAATTAAAATAATTAGAGAAACTCCTAATTTGGTTAAATCTAAAGATTCTTCTGAAGTCAATTCTATTTTCTATATTCTAACCAATCGAGTTAATAACATTGAGAATCTACTAAATTGCAATACCCAATTACTCTATTTAAATTATCAATAATAATACAAGATAAATATTTTTTTGTTGTAATTTTTAGAATTTTATCATAATTCATATTATCATCATTATTATCATTATGCCTAGATAATGTATCTTTGATATCATTATCTTCATTTTGTATTACTTGATTTTTTAATAAATCTTTTGTTCTAGTTGTGGATAGATAATCATAAGTAAATATGAATTCTTGATTATTTAGATCAGTACTCCAAGTTTCTTCTTCCTAACTTTTATATGCAAAATAATCATAATATTTTTCTATTATAACAAATTACTTATTTAAATTTTTATTAAATAATATGTATTTGTAAATAATACTTTATTATTTAATATGAGATAAAAGAGTTAAGTCATTTTTTTTATAGATTATAAATTTTGCTACTTGAAATATTTAACAAAGATATTATTTAACAAAGATATTATTTAACAAAGATATTATTTAACAAAGATATTATTTAACAAAGATATTATTTAACAAAGA